TTGATCATTGTAATTATGTTTGATGAGGATCACAAGGTGTGGAGCTCCTCATTATACCGTTTTCTCCAACCCCTCCTATTATTTCATCCCTCTTTGCTCCAGATATTCTCCTCAGCACCCTGTTCTCAAACACCCTCAGTCTGTGTTCCTACCTTAATGTCAGAAACCAAATTTCTCACCCGTACAAGACTAAAAGCAAAATTAAATTTCTCCATATTTGAACTTTTACGTGTATAGAAGGCAGACGAGAAGATAAAATATTCTGAATTGATTTTTCAGTTTTCCAGACATCAATACATTGCAGGTTTCTAACGATAAACAATATTCATTACATTTTACAAAAGCACGAAATTATACAATCAATTTCTGATATTCTGAGAATTATAGATAATTCCATTTCGCTATATGACAAGGCCATAGCTCAGGCGTCTAGTCGCCGGCTTCCCACCGTGGGGGCCCGGGTCAGGTTATGTGGGATTTGTGGTGGACAAAGTGGCACTGGGGCAGGTTTTCTCCGAGTACTTCGGTTTCCCGTGCCAGTTCTCATTCCACCGACTGCTCCACACTCATCATCTGTCATCCAGGGCTGGTGCAGTAGGCCGGTTAGTAGCCGACGTTCCAAGTGGACTCAGTCTCATCCCACCTCAAGAAACTAAAAAAAGAAATAACCATCACTCTACGACTTTCCCACAATACCCCCCCTCTCCAAGGGGGCACGCCCCATGCTTTGGAAACCGATGGTGTAGGAGAAGACGGAGCCCACAGCACTAAGAAGCCAGAGATTTCATTTAGTAATGATGTAACAATATTTGAGGTCAACTTGCAGAATGTTTGTGCCGTCGTGGAGCTCACACGCTGTAGGCACTAGACAGGACACCCGGGGCAATGCGATACCCAGTTCAGGGAAGAGACAGAGCTCTCTTGGGCAAGAGGATGCAATTACATCTCTGCCAGCTTAAGCACCCTTCACAACCGCGCGTAACACATTGCACAAATAAATTGATATCCATTTCCACGTTAACAAAAACAACGAAAGGTTTACCTAGATTGACACTGATTCTTGTGGATGTGAGGACTCTTTTCGACGTTTCGGAAAACTCTGCCTCCATCTTCGGGATCAAAGTCAGTAGAATGGGTGAGTCTCCAGTTTTAATGGAGTGTGTCAATTTGCATGTTTAATGCCACGAATAGGCTATTAGTTCTTCCCAGAACTTCTTGTTTCAGATATGGCAGCGTAGGAGACGTTTAAATCCGTTCAGGTCTCGAGATGGGTATAATCACGGTTGCAGTTTTGTTTCCTTACTGCTAGTGGGGGTGGGAGTAAGTCCCTTGTACTGCGGCCACATCTGGCCTATTGTACCTGCCCCAGATGATAGGTGAGGGTGATTGTGGAGCAATTGGCGGAATGAAGATTGGCAGGGGAAACCCAAGTACTCGGAGAAAACCTGCCGCAGCTCCACTTTGTCCACCACAAATCCCACTTGACCAGACCCGGGATCGAACCGGGGCCGCCGTGGTGGGAAGCCAGCGACTAACCTCTTGGGCTATGGCGCAGCCTTCACGGTCGTAGTTCGTTCGCATGAGTGTTGCGTACATGAGAGTGTAAAAATGAGACCAATTGAAGACAGGGTCGCCAAGAGTGCCGAATCCTTGAAGCAGAAGTCCAGTTACCTGTCTTATGTCACAGGATAACATTCAGTTAGACCGGTTTGTAGTCGCTCCTAATGAACCAGTTGTTAATTTCCGCCGCGTGTCTTGTTCGTGTTCATCATTATAGGGTATTGGTCTCGGTTCAGCTTTCTCTGCGTCTCTCAATGGCCTAGAAGCTGAGCCGAACTCACGAGAAATATTTAAACTGTCTCATTCAAACAGAAACAAGATCCCACACGTAACATTAGTAAGCGGTCACTTTCGTTTCGCGTTGCGTCATCTTTTAGAATACCTGGAGTCATCAGCGCTTAATTCTTACTTTCTCAAACTGTGGGTCTCGACTCCAAATGTGGGTCGCGACCTAACTGGAAACTGCCGAGTACTCAAAAAGTATTTAAAGTTCAGTTATGTCTTGCAAATCAGTAAGTTATTAGGGTTTAAGTTAATTCTCGCGAAAATTAGAGCTGCAGCCGGTGAAACATTTAGCGATTTTTTTTTCGTGACTGTACAGGAATATTTTACAGCTTACTGCAAACATGAAGTGATTCCAGAGCTATTTAGTTTCCTGCTGTCACCGTAGGCTACATGGAGGTCGTGAAAGGCATAACTTTATGTATTATTTTAGGGTAACGCTCTATCACAGACTTTCAGAACCACTGGTTTAACCCATTAGCGTAATTTGACGGGTGAGGTACGTCTGGCCATTTGGATAATTATCAATTACGTTAGCGACTGTGACGTGTTGCCGGATGTAAACTGCTCGGCAAACACATTTCCTGGACAACGAATGCAAAAGCAACATCGAATAACTTCCGTTGCTATGCAACGGCGCTGTAAACACGTCTTCTCAAATATAGAGAGTCTGTGTTTTCTGCTTGGTCCGTGCCGACGGGTTCCAAAAAGAACTAAGAAGATCGTTTGAGTTAGTTGAGTTTCGAGACGCCAGCTTGCCAGGGCGTGCGCTTGGGAGCAGAGGAATAGAACTGAGTCGAGTTCCGGAGTTGGCAGGTACAGCGTAGGACTGAGAGAGATGATAGTCGAAGGTGATTCAGAAGAAATGACATGAAAGGAATTAGACTGCGCATAGATGTCATGTGTACTATAGTATCAGTGAGACTGTTACAAATCCATTGCCAGGATAGGACTAGTGAAGACTGAGGACCATAGTGCTTGTGTGTGTGTGTGTGTGTGTGTGTGTGTGCCGGCGAACTATAAGGTGTGTAGATCAGCGATAACACTATCACTTCTGTGAATAAGGTGTCAATAAACCCAATCCTACACGTGACAGTATTTATTTGGAATCTTTATAATTCAATTTTAATGGCGTCACTATTAATATTATATTCGTTCACGAGTTAAATACAAACCATTCTTATTTATATTTTAAGCCTTTTAATAAAATATTACATTCAACTTACATCTTTCGGCTGTAATTACTCCGGCTTCAGGAAAGCGTAATTGAAGTACATAAGCTGTCATAATTTCACTGTATATGAATATAATACAATTAAAATATAGATACAAAGGCTTATAATTTTATCAGTGTCTATAATTTGATTCTTGATGGAAAAAGTGATTATTAACTCTACGGGATATGATGTTCCCACGTCGGTGGCCATGAAGAGAATTATGTTCTGCGATGTGACGTTGATTATTCGTCTTACTCTTCAACCTGAAGATGGATGCAGCACGTTCCTGCTAATCCGTAAACTTCTACTACATTATACCATGTCACATCTCAAGAGACAATTTCAATTAATAATTTTATTTCTGCTTATAATACTTTCCTGTAGGCGGACAACTATCCCAAGTAGCTTAGCTGTGATCCAGTTCCCAACATTATATGGAACCCGAATGTTGATTACCGTGTTCACAAGAACCCACCAATGGTCCCGATCCTGAGCCAGACGAATCCAATCCGTTTCCTCTCACAACCTATTTATCTTATATATTATAATCAGAATTTGTTCTCAAATCCATACCATCTACTTCCCAAAAATGTCCTTTCGAACCTCGGCTTGAACACCGACTAGCCTGACTGAAATTCCTTCGTATTTTACCTCAGTTACTTCTTTAAAATACTGGGATAGAAAGCTAAATTCATTTTAGACAACGACCATTTCATTCCATATGCTTCCCAATTCATTATTCACCAACCATCGTACTATCCGACGCCATCTTGTTTTCTAGACTCCGTAAATAAGCCGCGGTCTCCTTTAGTGCAAGAGATCGACTCTTACACCCATACAAAGCTACAGGTAAAAAAAATGGTTTGTGGATAAGGTATAATATAGGGTGATTATGAAACGCACTACAGTCTTCTGGGGTGTGACTTCGTGTAGACTGGCAGATCTTTACCATCGGTTCTTAAGGTGATACTTAGGCCCCTCCATGGCTCAGGAGGTCAGTCGCCGGCTTCCATCTGCGGCGGCCCGGGTTGCAACCCTGGTCAGATCATATGGGATTGGTGGTGGACAAAGTGGAATTGGGGCATATTTTCTCCAAGTACTTTGGTTTCCCCTGCCAATTCTCATTCCACCGATTGCTCCACAATCATCGTCATCATCTGGGGCTGGTACAATAACAGAACAGTGGCCGAAATACCAAGTGGACTCAGTCTCATCTCATGAGAAGAATTGAAGTGCTATTTCAATCTTTTACCCTGATGATAGAGATAGTAGGTTCCCCCGAAACGTTATCTTACACTAGAATGCACTACATCACACATATCCCAGAAGATCGTAATATTCATGAGACCATGGGAACACCAAATTCCATAATCAGAATATTTGATATAAATTTTCAGCTTTTCACGGCGCTAAGAGTTCAGACTGTGGTCTTCTAAGCTGTGTTACCGTGCAGATTTGTATGTGGATACTAATACTTCAGAGGAATGTGATGCCCCATCTTCAGGGTCGAAATGACGGCTACTCTGAAGAGAGTTTGTTATGTTTCCCGGAAACGCTGTTACCCACCAACAAGCGACACACAAAGAAGCCATAAAACTCTTACCTCGTGCTGCCAATTATTAGATTTAAGAAGAATTCAACACAATTATTTTTTACAACATTTTTAATTCACCCTTGGACAAATTTCGGAATTTTATTTTATATTCTGTCTAAAATATCTTTGAGGCTACGTCACACCATGAGTAGGCAACCTTACGGAAGAAAATTCCCTGTTTCTCCAACGAGATCTGCGACACGGCGATTTTGGTTCATGTATTGAAAACAGAGCACAATAATCTTATAATGACGTAAAATAGAACAGGCTGATCTATCTGAGGTCTCCATGATTTTCCTCAGGCCATCCAGATGAGTGCCGGTATAGTATCTCAATTACTCCAGTACCCTTTCCTCCCAAATCATTTCTAATTCATCAGCTATCCCATTCTCCAATGCTGTACAATCTCGAGATTTAAAGAGCCTTTAAATTATCCACAAAGAATGACGTAACGACTACGTCAGTATTGCTGACTCATCCTCAAAGATACTTCAGACACAGCATAGCCACTGACTGTGGCCAAATAAAGAAATGCAGTAAAATTGTAAAGGCGCTCAGACGTTTCTACTGAGGCGGTGGTTCTGATGTTGCGTCGGGAAGAACACTCAGCGCTCTTTGGATGGCGCCCGGTATGGGTGGAGGCGTCGGGAGGTGAGCGCCCTCGGGGTGAAAGCCTGTTTCGTCAGCAATAAACCTGGCAGAAACAAAAGCGGAACGAACATTACAGTGTTACGGCACACAGCAAGTAGACTGAAGCAGCCCCTATGCTCAATATGCATAGCTCCACTCATATTTAAGTCTTACTGAATCACTGGATTAAATGGAGTTGTTTCCACACAGCCACACATTTGACTAATGTTCGCTAGAATTCGCCATAAGCACTCGTGGAAGAGGAGCCTTGATGCTTGCACTAGATAGAGATAACTGTTTAGCTTCACACCCTGGCCATTATCCGCTAATGCACCTTGGATGCGAGGTTGAGTGTGACCTAGAGTCGGCCTCGACACTTTAAATGAAAGGTGTTGTGACGTGTATACCCATTGCTAGGTAAGACAAGTTAAATATTTCCTTCCTCAAATCGACAGATAAAAAGTAGGGCATTCATTGCTAGGCAACGATCAATAAACACGTCTCCTTAACAATAGAGGCTGGGTTTTCCGGGTAGTCCGTGCAAAATGGTTATAAGGAAGTTTACAGCATAACACAAGAGGAGTCGAAAGCGAAGAGTCGAATCTCTGGAGGCGAGCCTGCCAGGATATGAACTTTGGAGCAGCGGAATTGAACTGAGTCGAGTCTTCGGAATCGGCGGTTACAGAATAATGGCAAGGAAGGTTTTAGGCTGGGAAACGAGGACTTCATGTGTGATTTTAAATGATAGTGAGACTGCTAAAAATCCGTTGCCAGGATACGACTAGTGATGACTGAAAATTCTAGTGTGTGTAACATTGAACTGTAAAGTGTGTAAATCAGCGATAGCCATGTATTACTTGTAGTCCCGGGCTGTTAACGTATAAGGCACAATAAATCAAATTATCCGATCCAAACCCCGTCTGTAAGCCACCCTTACACGTGACAGTATATATCTACTTCCTCAGCAGAGAATCGAACCCCGATTCCTGCGTCCTCCAGACCGTAGCCTAGTCCCTATTCCTACTGAGCTATCCCAGCTTCACGGGTACACATCTGGTAATGACAGCCACTCCCGTGTTACATTAAGCTACTCTACAGTGCTGTGGCATCTGCAGTGGTTATTATGACCGACAGAGCTCTGACACGTCATCCACATTCCTGCCGTACCCCTCTGTGTTCAACATTCGTATTCATGAGATTCTTGTGAATAATTAACGTGACACCGTGTAGAGGAACGTTCATGTGTTCTCAAGGCCCTAGAAGTGTAAGGAAGACCGCGAGAGACATTGTAGGATCAGGAGTTAGAACCAGAGACACTCCCTCTCTTCATTACCTTGATCACAAAGAGTTTGAATTTATCTCTCGTCATAACAAGAGGAGATTTAACCCTGTCCATGCTACAGACATTTATACAGGGTGTCCTTTGACGTGCTATATCAAGTTAGGTTAGACAAGATGAGGTTAAGTCAGTTTTGAACAAGCAGTATTAAGTAAGTTTTGAGGTTTTCACGGCGATGACAATGAAGAAAGTTGTCTTCTGGGTTTGGGCACCGTGTATTCTTCGTTTTGGCCGACGTTTCGGAGGAACGTAGCGCCTCCATCTTCAGAGCAGTTGAATAGCTGCGGAGAGCAGTAGCTACTGCTCTCCGCAGCTATTCAACTGCTCTGAAGATGGAGGCGCTACGTTCCTCCGAAACGTCGGCCAAAACGAAGAATACACGGTGCCTAAACCCAGAAGACANTTAAATTATTCAGGACCTGTGCAATGCTCACTATTCTGGATGTTCATGAATGATTTTTTGAATGAATGTCAGTTTCCTATTTGTTACCGCACACCCAACAGGGAAATGCCCAAAGACATGAACTCCACTGCATAGGTTTTGCCAGATACTTACAGTAGCCAGGGCCATTAAGCTACGTACAAATAGTGAGGCAGAGTTCCTCATCCCCAATTTCATTTCTATTTCCAATTACACGAGCAATTTTAATATTATCCCCTTTTTAAAGTGTTAACGTCTGTGTATTAGCTCAATCAGTATAGCGACGGCTACGGGCTGGAAGTCCAAGATTCAATTCCCGGTACCGCAAGATTTTTTTTCTATTCGGAAACGTCCAGGCTGGCTCTGGGGCCCGAGAGGGGGGAGATATCCCCGGAGGTAAAGCGGTCGGGTCGTCAATCTCACCACTCACCTACATCTAATGCCAAGCTTAAGAATGGTGGAGCTATACCTCCACTCCCGGCCATATGTTTCCATGGCGTGGTGCTTAATTAATTAATTATTTAATTAAGCACGGGGACGAATTTGCCTCTTGCCTACGTGCACTGCGTTACTGGCAAGGAAAGCGACCATATCCGGGGTTCAGTCGGACATGCCACTTCTGCGTATTTCTTACGTTACTGCAGGATTATTCAGCACATGAACATACTTCAGGTTGATCGGGGTGCCATCTGGTGCAGTGTAGGAGAAAGACCCCTGAATAACTTGACTGTCTCCGTTGTCTTCCTCGTTCTTGTCTTCCCCTAGGCCGGCCCTCACGTCGATCGCCGGTTTCACGTATCCGGATTCTTCAACCTTGATGCCGTTGGATGCCTCGAAACTGCAATAGAAAATATACAGCATATGATATAAAGAAGGCGAAGTAACAGGCCATGGAGGCCCATAGGGTTGTGAGACGTCGAGGCTCCCACAATTTCTAGACAACTGGCTCACAGATGGCGGCGAGGTTGTCAGCCTTACTCGCTGGCCGGTCTTCCTTTAGCCTCAAGAAGATTCCTGGTACCTATTTCTGTCTGTGTATGTGTCGATCCCAGGCCCATAGTGTGGCTGGAAGGATTAGATAAATTGAAAAATTCAATGAACTCATCTGGAATCGCAACCGCGACCTTCCGGCTTGTAGCATAGTGCCTCAACCAACTACGCTACCGCGTGCCCCATACAAGGCGAAGTAGTAGCAGTAATATTAGTAGTAGTAGTAGTAGTAGTAGTAGTAGTAGTAGCAGTAATATTAGTAGTAGTAGTAGTAGTAGTAGTACCAATATTCCCCCTCATCCCTGCTTTGACGTAGTGGCGGGGCTTACGTAGTCGTATGTTCATCAGGGCTATGCTGGCGGTAGCGTAGCTACTGGTAGGGTCTCCTACCCCTGACAGGTCAAAGATGTTGATACAGACAAATGGGATACCCTGGTCCTCAAGGTTGGGGATTGGTCGTTGGGTTGACAATCCCGCCACATAAAGAACACTTAACTGTTGAGAAGCGTTTGACGTTGCAGCCGGACGGGAAAACCTAAAACGACCTAGCAAAATCGGGGACTTATAAATGGGACCCTTAATGTGCTGTCCCTATATAGGAGTGTGGCACTTTCAGAGGGTACCTGACGAGTAGGCAGACCTGTCATCAGGTGGCTGGAGTCAGTTGAAGAAGATCTGAAGACAATGGGCGCTAGAGATTGGAGACGAAAGTCACAGGATCGGGCCCAATGGATGACAATCGTAAAAGAAGCCAAGGTTCATCATGAACTGTAGCTCCCGCAGAAGAACAGATAGTAGTGGCAGCAGCAGCAGCAGCAGCAGTAGTAGTAGTAGTAGTAGTAGTAGTAGTAGTAGTAGTAGTATTAGTAGTAGTAAGAGCAAAAGAAGGGGAGTGGAAATAGCAGTGACTTAGCATGAATGAGGAATTAAAATGTAGTTTGCAGGCTTAGTAATTCCTCATTCATGTAAGCCAGTTTTTACCTGGAAATTCTGAACCCCACATTTAGTCTCTTGACCCCACATCGTTGTGTTTTAGCGGTTCATGCATATATACAGCATCCTACTTCGAGTAAATTCAGTCCCTGTTCTTTCCTTAGCCCTTTAAAGACGAAAATGTCTGTCGATTAAATTGCTGCTGGCCTTCGCCAGCACAGGCAACTTTGCCTGAGAACCTGAACATTCAGGAATTTAAGACACCAGCATAGCTACATCGTGGCGCTACCCTTTGACAGTAATGGGAACTAAGATTCACTTTCACTCTTACGTAGTTAGAAGTATTCTCACGCGGTGCTGACTATCGCTTCATTAGTCATGACCTTGAAGCAGTTGACAGAATACGATAATTCAATTCATTTGAAGAACGCAGATAATAGACATCAAAGGTTTTGTTCTTGGGGGAACAAATATTGTGTTACGCTTCGCTTTATGAAAACATAACACCGTACAACAAAACGAAATATTTTTCCTCCGCTTCAAAGGGAAACAGGAGCACTGAATGCGAGTAAGTTACTTCTGGAAGGCAGCATGTTTTTCCATACGGACATGCGTCTCTCAACCCTACACATTTGTAAGGATTTTGTCCAAATTCGGTAATTATAAGAGTTTATCCATCACAGGTCGATGTCAAGTGAATATGAACATTCCATCATAAAAATATTGGCTCCTCAGATGGGCTTCAAGGACAAAATGGCGATCTTGTCGGAAATGCCTGTAATGATTTTTATTAACTTGAGCAGTTTGTGGAGAATGCTGCTCAAAATAAAACTGTATGCATGACATCTTCACGAAATTACTCTGTGCGCAATAAGGGCCCAAATATCTGAGTATTGCGGACGTGTCCTAGATTTTATAATCAGCGACAATAAAATGGACTACCGAAGAACAATCGATCTTTTTTCGGAGGTAAGAGGAAACTTAGGTGGTTGGTGCACCGTGCTACAACCCGGACGGAGATATTGGATTTTTCAGTTGACATAATCCTTCTAGATGCACTATGGCCCTGGGATCGACTCAGCCTCTAACAGAAATGAGTACCAAGAATCTTGCTGTGGGTAAAGGGCGACCGGCGCATAAGGCTGACAACCTCACCGCCATCTGTGGGCTGATTATCTAGAACATTTGGGAGCCTTTAAGTCTCACAGCCCTATGGGTCTCCACGGTGTTACAGGGACAACTTCACTTTTTACCCATTACGCAACACAGCCAATGTCAGTCGAGAGTGAGAAAGTGTGTGCAATGTGTTTGAACTCTTTTTTATTTATTTTTTTTTATGGGTGAGGCAGAGTCAGTTGGTACTGCGGCCTCTAACGAACCTATCGTACCAACACCTGGTGGCAGTCAAGTATGGGGCATTAATGGAACGATAACTGGCCGAAGAAGACTGTGAAATGTATGGAGAAAAGCCTGCCCCATTGCCACTTCGTCCACTATTTATCCCCCATGGATCTTCCTGGGATTGTGACTTCCTCTGTTTCAGGTCCAAATATATTTCTAATCAATACGTTTGGATAATAGTAGAATCTTAAAATTCGGAATATCGTATTGAATTCGAGAACGCTCCGATCTCCTTAAATCAGCCAACGGCCACACCATGTTGAAAACACCGGTTCTCGTTCGATCACCGAAGTTAGGCAACAGTGGGCGTGGTTAGTACTTGGATGGGTGACCGCGTGGGAACACCACGTGCTGTTGGTATTCCTTTTAGATGACCGCGGCGCCTCGTGTTCGAGGTCAGGTCATGTGGGATTTTTGGACAAAGTGGCATTGGGGCAGTTTTTCTCCGAGTACTTCTGTTTCCCCTGTCAATTTTCGTTCCACCAAATTCCTCATACTCATCAATCATCCGGGGCTTGTACAATAGGTCCAGTAGTAGCTGACGTACCAAGTGGACCCTGTCTCACCCCACCCCACGAAACTTAAAAAAAAAACCACTCACCTATAGTTGAAGCTGCCGTCGGCGTTGACCACGGCGTTCTGGAAGATTATCTGGGCGGGTGTCGGCGCGACGGCGTCCTGCGGGGCCCCCAACGATGGACAGGCTAGCGCAGAAAGCACGAGCTGCAACAAAACCGTCTTGTCACGAGAGTTCTGGGGTGCTGCTGTACTAATAAGGGGCACAGCTTCATTTTCAACTTGCGTATTTGGCAAACACGTGGAAGTGTACGTTCGCAATAACTCCCGGGGGAAGGGTCCTTTTGACTACCTGATACTTGCTCAGCTAATCAAGAAATTGTCACTCGAAGATTTATTGCCGTGTCAGCAACATCCAGCCAGTGGTCTATTTCTGAGTCAGATGAATCCAGTCCATAATCGCCCATCCGCTTTCATTATGATCCATTTTAATATTACTTTTCCATCTACGCCTAGTTGTACTCAGTGGTCTCATTCCTTCCAGTTTCCTGGTCGAAATTTTAGATGCATCTCTCTCCTTTCTTATGCGTTCTACACACACTTTCCATTGCATCCTCATATATTTGATTATCCTAATAATATTGTCACGTGTTAGAGTGACTATAGGCGGAGTTTGGATTGGTGACTCGATTTATTGACCACTTACAAGTCATAACTACAACCCTACAACACGCACTTTACAAAATCACAAAACGTCTTTACGCATCATGACTGTATTTCTTGATACATCGTCTCTTCTATCTATCTTGCTCCTAATTGGAGCATAGGACATCCGTGAAACGCTTCGTTTCATTTCAGTTTCTTAATCTTAGAGAGTCGGTAGAATTCCTGAGACGGGGGATTAGCCCGTTGCAAGTCCGCTACCTACACAGGGCAACACAAACACTGAATAAAATCAGACATACATCCATGCCTTGAGTGGATTCGCACCCACGATCCCAGTGTTCAAGCAGCCGAAGACATTTCATGCCTTAAACCGCGAGGCAACTGCGATGGACTAGTGAATACTAAGCCTTGAAAATACAGTAACAGCTGTGTTATTAGTTGCTTGAATATTAACACTTCTGCGTTTTGCACACACAATGTATTTATACATTTCGTATTATTATGAGAACATGCAGCGGTACTTCCTTAAACTGCATTAACTGATTGGGCGGCGTAATGAAGACGTCACGTTTCCTGTGAGGTAGGAACTTAATGTTAAATGTCATTGCACTGCATGCTTCACATGCATGTCGACCAAATCAACTGTTTGAAGGGGCGTATGACGTTTGAACTTGAAACAGAATTTCATCAAGCAACTGCTTTGACATTTCGATAAACAAATAAAGTCACATACTTTTACGGAAAACGCCAACAATTTCGTTTCTGTCTCCCCTTAAAATATATTTGCGGGTATCCCATAAATATTAATAGAATGTTTTTGAAGACTTACATTGGTTTAAATAAATTATTTTGACCAATTTTCTGTAATAATATTTAAACACTTTGATACAAATTTTATGTCTATGTCTAAAACTCGATACAGTACTTACAGTTATTTCCCACATTATATGAGATTTACGTTTCTAAGCAATTGAACCGTGCACAAAATTTTCCAGCAGCAAATCTTCTCCGAGTAGAAGTTAAAACAATTTCGCGTGTACGTAATCTTAGATTTTCAAACAGAAATGCCCAGGTTTCTACTGGTACGTTTCGCTCAAGCCTGCAGTTTTTATACTTAGTCAATAACTCTTAGTGTTAACAAACCGGAGTGCTAACATATTCGACCTCAATACTCTCTTCGTCTTACACTGACGAGATCAAACATTGCACACGTAACATGTCAAACAAATGTAAAATGTTAACAAAGCATCAGAGTCTTCCTGTATCTCGAGTTGTCACTATTTTCCTGCTTCATAACGTGGAGAGCGGAGTGGTCACACTCCCGAGGACAAGGATCGCCACTTCAAATCGACCACTTAGTCTCGCCTACCTATTTTCCCTCTATCCAGGGATTGCGCATCATTGTCAGTGGTACCAACTTAGGCGCTGGCTAAGAAACTCGCTGGTGTCAGTAATTGAAGGTTGTGTTAGATTATATTAATACGTGGAACCACGTAGATAAATCAGTATTTCAGGAAACCTTAAATCTTTTTCGTAAGCTATGATATAAGTTGCTTTATGTATGGCCTCGACCAGTCGCGATTCTATGGGCCTCCGCGGCCTGTTACAGGGATTACAGGGCTTTATGTATCCAACACAGAGTCATATATTTTTGTAAGATACTTTATGTAAGTTATATTATGTATCAGCCACGAAGTCTTAATTATTTTAAGTAAATAACTTGTGTAATTTACTGTAAATATCCATCACAAAATCATATCTTAAACAAGGAACTTCATGTATTCACCACAAACATATAATTTCTTTTTTATGTGTATGATGGTTATTTATTGACGCTGTCATTATGGGGACCATGTATTATCAATGATAAGATAATTAATGAATGTGGAGCAGTTTGCTGGAATGAGAATTGGTTGGGGAAATAGAAGTCCTCAGAGGAACCTGACCCTTTTGCCAGAAATTCATTTTCGTGAAACATTCTATATAAGTTACTTAACCAATAGTCATAATTCTTTTTTCGAAAGGCACTTTATTTAATGTATTTTATGTATTCACCACAAAGCTATACCTGTCTTTCGTAAGGTACTTCAAGTTTCTTAACCACGAAACCATAATTCCTTTTCGTAAAATACTTTATATACTAATGACCGCCTTTGTGGTTTAGTGGTCAGAGTTCCTGGCTACAGATCCGGGTTCGATTCCCGGCGCTACCAGATTTTCTGAGAAGTAGTGGGTCTGGAACGGGGTCCCCTCAGTCACGTGAGGATAATTGAGGAGCTATTAACGGCCGTGGGGATTCGTTGCGCTGACCACGCGACACCCTCTATCCACTAAAGTTGGCACTAACTTCGTCGACATGCGGCGATCGCTCTGTCGGTATAGTTCGCTTGCGGACTAAAACCACAGAGTTTTATATAGTAATATTATGGGCCCCTGGGATTTTGATATTGTATAGCTCTCTGCAGAGACCCCAAAGTTGTGACGGAACGAGCTACTCCCATATTCACTTGAACAAAACTATTAAACATAAGCAGCAGTAGACAAGTCATGAAGTTCACCAGGATACAGGAGCAGCAAGGAAAGCCAGCATTGCTCCTTACAAGTAAGCAACTTGCTTCAGGTAGCGCAAACGTTGGGAGTCACTGTCTTCCTCATTGGTTATTACTGTTGTTCGATGTTAATGAACTTCGCAGTTCTTTCGCCATTTTCATTTGTCAATTCTATTTTTGTTCTTCCTTGGATCAAATGATTCAGATTTTTTTACAGCCTTTTGTTAAACTGTGTGTAAAATAATTTTGATGCCTCACCATCATCAGACAGTGATGCATACGTCATCTTTAAAAAGTCACTAGAATATGTAGGGTCTGAGGTTCTCACAGCGGTGGTTATGAAGAGTTTTATATTCTGGGGTATAAAGACGTGTAGCCCTTTGAAAGTCAACCGAAGTCTGTCTCTCTTCTTTCTCGGTTTATTCTTCGACCCTTAAGATGGAGGCGACGTGTTCCTCAGAGACGTCGGTTGGCTGTCAACGGACTACTTAGCGTTATATCGCAGTAGATAGAACTTCTTCTAGAATCTATTGTCAACATGAAATGGGAACCGTGTCGGAGATCTCGTTAGAGACACAGAGACTTTTCTTCAGTAAGGTTGCCTACACAACGTATGACGTAACCTCAGAGATGTTTCGAGCAGGCAGTAATATTGTTGCTGTGTGCTGGTTGTGACACAGAGCTCTGTAATCTGGAGCCATTATTTATTCGGAAAGGACACGATGAATATTGAGAGGTGTTTAGGGAAACGGTTGGGGCTTGCTGTAATGCCCTGTCGCAGCAAATTATTGGAGGGACTGAGAGAACCGAGAAAAGTAATCAGTACAGTCGTTCGTGACGGAATTTGCAACGTGTACTCCCATAAGTGTCTACAAACTTTCTCAGGCCAATTAAGCATCTTAAAAGTACACCGATCCGCTGCTAAAGAAAAGCAGGTCTTCCCACAAAGAGATGGACAGACGAATTCTTGGACAAGATTTGGTATGCCAGGTTCATAATGTTCATAATAACAGGTAGAGCTGTCCATGTAACAGGCTGTGTAGGTCCATAGGGGTGTGAGACGACGAGGCTCCCACATTTTCTAGACAATCGGCTCACAGATGGCGGTGAGGTTGTCAGCCTTTCGCGCCGGCTGCCCCTTACCCCTAGGAAGATTCATGGTACTCATTTCTGTTAGATGCCGTCTCGACCCCAGGACATAGTATGCTATAAAGATGTTCTGAAGAACGGAATTGTAGATCCATGGTTCTTAACTTCAGTATCAACTGAAGGTGCGTGGCATGCTTCACCACAGAGAAAAATTCTGCCTGTTCCCTTTGGATAGGAACCTGCAGGAGCGTAGGTTTGGCCTGCCAGCTGGTGGACAAGAGGAAAATTGCCACCTACGCCGGCCATTGGAAAGTCGAACATCCAGCCCACAGTCTGGTGCTTATAATGACTGAGCTAAGTTTCCTAATTTTATTCTATTCCGTTAGCTTCGGGGGGCAACTATTTCAGTCAAGTGTACATGAGGATAACATGTGCAGTTCTTTTGCACGCGATAACATAGTTGATCGAGGCACTGTGACACAAGCCGGAAGGTCGCGGGTTCGATTCCCGAAGAGGTCATTGGATTTTTCAATTGGCCTAATCCTTCCAGCCGCACTATGGCCCAGGGGTCGACTCAGCCTCTAACAGAAATGAGTATCAGGAATCTTCCTGGGGGTAAAGAGAGGCTGGCGCGCAAGGCTGGCAACATCACCGCCATGTGTGAGTCGATTTTCTAGAAAATGTGGGAGCCTCGACGTCTCACAACCCTGTGGGCCTCCATTTCCTGTTACAGGGGTTGCTTTAAGTTACCTTACCTTTTGCGCTTGTTACTGCAATACAGTAGTGTCGAAACGTAAAGGTATGGCGGCTCATTCTTCTCTTACGATATAAACTGAAGATTCTCTAAGTTGAACCGCCTTCCTCAAAGGTCATCATATTTAGCACTGTGAAATGTTAAGCACATGTTGAGGCGTCCGAGCACTCCTACTTGTTGTCTTGGTTCGTGGTCCCCTTTCTATAGCACTGAAGGCTGTTTCCCAAGTGTTTACATTGTATGTGGCTGGGTTTGATGTTGCCACAACGGCGACTTGATTATCATAATCTTGGATGTGATGCCCTCTTATCTGGTATAAATTCACACCGAAAATTCGGAGGATCGTACTGTCACCGTCTTCAGGGTCGAAAAGTAAGCAAAGAAATCAGAAAGTATTAAGAAACAAGCAAAGCGTTCTAGAACCTGAAGATGGAGGCAGGACGTTCGTCCGAAACGTCGGTCACACACTGCCATATCTTAGAAGACAATATTCTCTTTCTTAGGACATTAACTGCTTAATATAAAATACGGTGTGATGCTGTACACATCAAAAGAGTTGATAGGTCTCTGACATAGCACGAACATTTATTCATATGGGGAGGAAGTGGTGAAGGAAAAGTACATAGGTATAACGGAGTAAATATATAGTCTCGTGGTGTGCAGAATACATTCATAAGAATGACATTGATATGTTTTATTTTTGTAATGTATCGTTTCTCTCAATAGCCAATGTACAGCGTGTGTCAGCAACAAACTTTATGGCCCTAAGACTAGGCACTTCTGTGACTGTCCCAGCGGTTGAAACTTCCTCTTCCGGAAGGGCGTTTGGCGTTCCTTATATACTCTCTGTTGCGCAGGTTCGTTAGCAGCCGTTTTCGTCATGCGCACTACGTCGGAAGCAAACTGAATGTATATTGAAGTCTTTCAAGTGCTTCTTGAATTACTGTGAAATGTGATTATCGTTTTCTTCACTACATTTTGAGACTTGAATAGAGCGAATTTGTAATGACTCGACTGGGACGCTGCTTCATGTTTTCTATATACATATAGCAAAAATTAATTTATTATTTCCCCCGCAAATCATGTTTAATTGTGTCTGCTATCGAAATTGCTGAAAGCGATAAATATGGCAGATTGAATGTTTACCGTATTCATTACGCAATTCAGGTTTTTTCACACCCAGACTTCATCACAAGACATGTACTGAAAACTTAAGAGTTACCTCAGTGACGACGTTTACTTTACGAAAATTGAAGAAAGCAGTCTTCTGGGATTTGGCGCCGTATCCCAGAAGACTGCTTTCTTCATAGTCACCGCCGTGAAAGCCTCAAATTTTACGAAAATTAATTTGAATTTCTCATCTAATTTGAGAAACTCTGTCTTGAGAAAAGTTTTGAGCTTGAAGCGATTTGCAGCGCTTTATTGAACGCTTAAACGTAGAGATCGAAGAATGTTCCCCAAATGGACCATGCTTCACAGAGAATTTCTGATATGGAGATATTTAAAATAGATTATGTGCTTTACATATCTTGGTGGGAATTACATTTCCTAATAGTTTTAAATGTCTCTGATGATCATGAATTACATTTAGTACTGTTAGCTTCCTAGAAGTTTCAATAGGGCGATATTCTAAAATAGAACACAAATTTTCAGGGTATGAATCTGATCGCATCCTCAGATATTGGGTACCCACGCAGTTGGGTCCGTTAGAAAGATCAGTTCTTAGACACTGGGCAAAAAGCTGTGTTCTGGTTTTTAGAATATCATGGATGGATTCCAGGGAGGTAGTAACAATAAATTATTCTTACTGAAAAAGAAAGAGTAACGTATAATTCCGTTTTCAAAAATAAACCTGTAGTATACATTCCTCCGTCAGATGGAAAATGTACTTCCCCATGGCGTTCGAGTAAGAATCGCGAGTTTGCTAATGATTTGAGAGTTGCGAAATTTCATACCGAAAGAATCTCACGTACACGTCTTAAATTACAGATTTCTTAGTTTATTTATTTGGTGTCTTTCTCCTCTTCTGGATGCGCCTTGTTGTACTCTATGGAGCGAGCGATGGCCTCTGGAATCTGCAGCAGATGTGATCCCTGAGGTTGGTAGCCGTTCTCGTCTGCAATGTAGGTTACAGTGTATGTAACGCCGTCTGGTGCCACGTACGAGAAGCTTCCTGTCACGGATTCACCATCATCGTCAGGCCCCAAGTTCTTCAGTTGGCCGGACTGCTCAGCTTTGGTGCCGTCGCCCGTTTCGAAGCTGCCATATTGAAAGAGACTGTCACTGTCACGCTGATAAGGTTCGACTAGAGTTCACAAAATGGTGTCATGCGTAGTGGAAATGAGATTTTCGATATAAAATTCGATTACATTGTAAAAATGATAATTTTAATATTATTATTGTAAACTTCACTTAGAATTATTTTCATTTTGGAACAAATGCTTGAGAGAAATTGGATTCTGGAATTACGGAGCAATAAAAATAGTGAAGGAACAAAAATATGGAAACAGACTAAGTGCGGTACTCGAGATGAAAATGTAACTTATCAATATCCAGCCAAACATAAGGATTTTTGAAGAAGAAAAAAAAAAAACCGTTGAAAATTACAAATTCCGAATTCATTTTTGTAATATATGAAATGTTATTTTTATATATGCTTTCAATTAAATAATATGTTTATATCATATTCTTGTTTAACATTTATGTATTTTATCGTTATTTATTTGTGACATTATTTTTAGCTCCATGTATAAGGATTATATTTGGGGGGGGGGTCGTGAAATTTTTCGAGTGCGAAAGTGTTCCTTGGTCAAATGAAATTAGGAAGCACTGGTTCAGACCAACGCAACACTGCACAGCACACTGTACTGTGGCATGCTACAAGTCGCACAATGTTGTTTTGTTCTAAACCCGCGTTTAGGCCTGACTAATCACAGTCGCCGAACATAACTCTTTCTAACGGGCATAACCCAGCAGGACCCTCAGCTTGTTTTCACCTGAGGCTGGGAACAGATCTAGTTTCCGAAACCTTTTGTTCTATGTCGGATATTATATTCCCACAGCGGCAACTACAAACTGTACAGTGTTCTGAGTTGCAACGAAAGGCGAGTTGGAAAGAGCCTGATATTACAGAATAACACGTCGCCTCTATCTTCAAGAACGAAAAATAAGCCACGAAAGAAACCGGCAATGTTCAGCTTAGCTCAGCGTACGGCCTGCTTCTGATGGTTTCTTTCTTGGTTTAATCTTCGTCCTTGAAGATGCATGCGAATTGTTCTTCCGAAACGTAGGTTGAATTCTAACGAGCTACACGGCATTTTATCAAAGAAAATAGAACTGTTCGTAACCACAGCTATAAGAACATCAAATCCAGTGAGATATAGGTTTATAAAAATGTGAGATTTTCTGAGCTGTTCAGAGAATTTTGAAGAAACTCCGGGCATCGTGTCGGATTCGAAGTTCTCTCAGCGGTACTGTCTTCTGGAGCGTTACGGCATGTAGATTTGTGGAAGTTTACAAACATTTGGGGGGAACGTACTGTCTCCATCTTCAGGGTTAAATAGTAAACCCAACAGGCAAACAGCATAGAATGTAACTCTGCTTTCTGCTTACTTCTCTCATACTTTTTTTATCTATCCTGAAGATGGAGGCAGTACATTCTTAACATCGGTAAACTTCTACAACGCCACACGGAGTGACATTCAAGAAGATACCATTCTTTGGAGTTTCATTTTTACCATGAATGTATCCCCAAGTAGGAGTGCAGATGCCTGTGTATCGCATAACCAGTCGGCACGGCTGACACGGGTTTGGGCCTGCAGCTTGGCTGCTGTGCGTACGTTCAATAACAAGAGAATGGGAAGGCCCGAAGCCGTCAATATTTGTACAACGTTGGTAAAACCCTGTCACGTTCAGCGTAGAGCAAGCTGAGTGACCACGTGCTGTGTTATGTGTTAAATGTCTTTCGAAAATACAGAATCAAAACTTCACATTTTGTTAAGCAGGCACGTGTCTTTATTCTAGTGAAATGACCAAGTTGGGTGGTATATACTCCTATTCGGAAGTTGCTGGTTCGAAACTCTGTTGGGACACCCGCTAACCTGATTGAGGTTCTTCGTAGGTCTCTTCAGCTCCGGCAGGCAATTTCCAGGATATTGTCTGCATTAATTCACGACCACTTTCTTCCAAAATCTTTTCCTATTCATCCTAATATTCGGCGTTATATAGCTTAGCTACTAGCAGCGCTGAAAAATAGCGCACAAGGTATCCTAGTCAAGTGTAAGACTACCTGTAGAAGACCCATATAGGATTTAGCTGTAAGAATATGAAGATTTCCACCCCAACTGGGAGTCAAACTCCGATTACTACGTCGTACAGCCTGTAGATTGTTATATTCGTGTTCCTTTGAATGACGGAAAACTACAGTACGGCAACGGAAGGAGCCCTGTCAAGCGGTTGCATTCTACTTTTGGATTTGAGAGGTAACAAATTTGAATTCTGGCCGGATCACAGACTATCCTGAGTGAGGCTTGCGTGTTTTTCCTCAGTTCTCCACGTAAATACCGTTACATTGTCGCTTCCTTCAAAATCCATTCCAATTTATTATTTATTAGTCATTGTACAATACGACGGCTTGTACTCAGGTTCTGAAAGGATATAAAATAACTAACTTCATGAAGCTGAGCCCCTCTTGAGAAGCTGCCAGTTGTGCAGCCACTCAAGAACTTCCCAACATTTTGTGGAACCCGAAGTTTCATTACCGTGTTCACAAGAGCCCTCTACTGGTTCCTATCCTAAGCCAGGCCAATCCAGTCCATAACATCCCATTATATCTCTCTAAGATCCGTTTTAATATTATCCACCCACCTGAGTCTTGGTCTTCCTAATGGTTCTTTCCTTCTGACTTTCCCACCGATAACCTATATGCATTCCTTTTCTCCCTATTCGTGCTACATTCCCTGCACATCTCATCCTCATTGACTTGGTATTTCTAATTATACTTAGCGAAGAGTACAAGTTGTGAAGCTCCTCATTATGCAGCACGTAAAGTAGCATAAAATGAGAAGGAGACTGCGAACAGTTGAACAGAGGCCCAGTACACTCACCTGTAAGAGTAGGATCCATCTCCGCTGACTTGACTCTGCTGCTTGACAATAGGAACGATCTCATTTTGCTGGGGAGCCGCCAGGACAACGGCTGCCAGGCAGGACAACAGGATTGTCTGAAACACATTCTTGAGCACTGACCCTCTCTAAATGTTCAGAGATGCAGAACACTTCTGAAGCAAATCAATATAAATATCGTGTACACAGACCGTATGCATGGATTTGTAAATAAAAAATTTAAATAGTAAAGTTATCCCTGTAACAGGCAGTGGAGACCCACAGGGTTGTGAGACGTCGAGGTTCCCACATTTTCTGGATAATCGGCTCACAGATGGCGGTAAGGTTTTCAGCCTTACGAGAGCTGGCCACCCTTCATCCCGAGCAAGATTTCTCGTACACATTTCTGTTAGAGGCTGAGTCGACCCCGGGGATATAGTGTGGCTGGAAGGGTTAGGTCAATTGAAAAATACAATGACCTCATCGGAAATCAACCCGTAATTTTCCGGCTCGAAGCATAGTGCCTCAACCTACTATGGTACCACTTGCCACCCCTTCGTGAATATCTGAAAGAAAGTTGTCTTTGCATCGTAGTTGCCTGGCTTGAAATCTTGTTACAGTCAGGTATACTGAGTCCTGAAGCTGGAGGAAGCACGTTTTTCCGAAACATACACTCTTACCTCACTACAGTCCTGAGCCGTCGTTTTATGAGTTATGTAACGAGGATGCCAGTGTCTACATTTTAAACTATCGAATGGTGATGTGAATTGTGATCAATGATTTCAGAGAGATTTAATAGGAAGTGGTGTGCCCGCAACGCCTTACTATCCCAGAATTGTCCTGGAGGAGCTGTGGAACCTCACGAGAAACCTCAGCCTGTTAGCCGAAATCGCGAGCCAAATTTCGAAACAAGGACCTTTAGTGTACAATTCTAGAGCTTTGCCTGTTCGCCATCCTGTTCAGCAACACAGCGTCACACCCCAGAAGATCAAAATAGGACTCTTTCTCTACATGGAAACGTCATCTTACGAAAATGATTTTCTTAGAAATCTGGAGACCGATTAAATTTAAGCTGTGTCAGACAGGTCACGTAGATTATAATGTGTTTATGTTTTGCGTTATGTAATCCTTATACAGCTGTATGTATGAACTTCGAGCTTAAATTAAATATTGCTGCCTATATTATGCTATGTAGTCTGATAGCTCTCCATAGATGGCTCCTTAACATTTTTCTGCGAAACTGAACCTGCCCTCTACAAATGAATGTATTTTTTTTTCGTAAGATCATTTCAGCCCAGTATGGAAATTAATAACACAGAACCACTTAATCTTCTCGAAAATAAACGACATTTGATAACTTTCACCACTCCATCTTCTAGAAGTTTCGTTGTAAATATGATCACACACACATAATCCTTAATTCGCTCTCAATCATTAGCGATAATACCTATTATAATGATTATTAATATTGTTTGAATAAATCAGCACAATGTCTATTACTCAATTTTGGAAGAGTTTTCAAAATTCTTTTCACTGTATAGGATATCAGGTTCTCACGACGTGCTCATCTCTCTGGGGCTCTACAGCCCTGGCGGACCTTGGCTGCTTTATCAGTTTCTTACTCTGTACACAGACAGTAGGACTCCTTGGAAGGGGGATCAGCCCGTCGCAAGGCCGCTACCTAAACACAGAACAACACGAACACAGAATAAACGCACGAAGACATCCATGCCTCGAGTGAGATTCGAACCCACGATACCGATGTTAGAGCTGGCGAAGACGGTTCATGCCTTAGACCGCTCGGCTACTGTGGCGTATAAGGTCATATAATCCATTGAAATTCACCAGACGTTTCAGAGGAACATGTCGTCTCCATCTGAAACGTCGAAGAATAACCCGATATAGAAACAAACACTGGCTCTGCTTGTCACCTACTTTCGTGCTGGTTTATGGTTGGTCATCCTTCGACCCTGAAGATGGAGGCGAGTCCCTTTGAAATTTCCGTTGACTTTCAACGGACTACACAGCGTTATATATCAGAAAACAGAATTCTTCAGGTGTTTCACTGCCTGTTCGATCCTTCCCTGGGTTTCGTATTGTATCTGTCCGAGATAACGCAACGCAATTGTTTTCTGAGAAAAGTGCAGACGTCACTGCAGCACAATCCGGCTGATGCGCCACAACTTACCAATTTGTTCATCTCGGTTAGCCTGCTGTAACGGCGTACTCACTCCCTTGTGTTGCAGTTACCGAGTGTCCCCTCGTATTTATACTGAATTGCAACACTTCAAACAAAACGACATTTCATCATACAAATTTCTGCAACTGACTGAAAGAGTAGGGAGGGACAGAAGGTAATTTGGAAAGTGGGGGGAGCAGTCAATTTCTGGCCGTGTCTTTTGTAATTTTTGCATATATTAAGTATATTGCAGTAGAGGTGGAAGGGGGAGGAGGAATGTTTAATGCGTATATAAGACTAAAAGTGATTTATTGCTGTTTAATGGGTAAACAGGAGTTGAAGAGAGAGGAAAGAAGAAGAGTTTGTTGGTTGGAATAAAAGTGGAAGCACAGCTAAGAACATAAGTGAATTAATGTCTTTACCCATTATTAGCTTAAAGATAAAAAAGTAATGTACTTCGCCCCAGGCTTTTTCCAATATTGTATTCTTATTCGCTATTTTATACGTTTAAGCCTAACATCTGAGCCAGTCTAACTGATTAAAATGCTAGAGATATAAAATAAATTTTGAAAATTCCTGCTGTCCCTTTCAGATCAAAATTATATTTATTAGTTTATCTAATAATGCCTCGAAACTGACTCCAATGAAAAGTTTCACTTCTGGGATATAACTGTATAGGTAAAGCTATCCCTGTAACAGGCCATGGAGGCACATAGGACTGTGAGACGTCGAGACTCCCACATTTCGTAGACAGTCGGCTCACAGGTGGCGGTGAGGTTTCGAGTCTTACGCTGGCCGGCCGGCGCGTGAATCGGACAATCTTACCGCCATCTGCGAACCGATTGTCTAAAGAAAATATGGGAGTCTTAACGTCTTACAACCCTATGGGCCTTCACGGCCTGTTACAGGGATAGCTTTACCTTACCTTTAGCACTTAGAGTTCCAAAAAGAATGTACAGTACTCATTTGTCTTATTGTAACATATGCCATTTTTGCTTCTATATGTTTTCCATGTTGATGATAATGCAGCTTACATTGTGTTTTTTATGTTTATTTCGTCATTCTGGTCATAAGTGGGACAAAAGGGCATATTGGCACGAAGAATCTCGTATTTTCAAAGCATGTCAATTGGTTTGAACACCCAAATATTAGAATCCTACCCAGATCCACAGAATGCCCAAGTTCTGTTGCATCCTTACAATACCATGAAAGGTTAACTTGTTTCAGTAACTGTGGTGGAATGTAAACACTGTGCTTATACTTTCAGTTGTCAATTTGCATAATTTAGCTCCGGGATAAGTACAATTTTCTCGTTCCTACACTCGACGCAAAATGTCTCCGAGCCTGGACTACGTCACGGAAAGAAGGGAAGGGAAGACTAAGGATGGAAAGGGCGAGGAAGGACTGGGTTCTCTCCGCATGCGCAATCGCTTGGCGGTCTTCCCCTCCCTTCCCATATTTCGGTTTGTTGGCCACCCGTGTTAGTACTTAACGGTCAAAGCAGCTCAGAAATACGTTGCTGCGTCTGTACATACATAAGCATAAAGATAAAAAGGTAAAGTTATCCCTGTAACAGGCCGTGAATGCCCATAGGGTTGTGAGACGTCGAGGATCCCACGTTTTCTAGACAATCGGCTCACAGATTGCGGTGAGGTCAGCCTTACGCGCCGGCCGCTCTTTACCCCCCAGGTAGATTTCTGGTACTCATTTCTGTTAAGAGGCTGAGTAGACCCAAAGGCCCTAGTGTTGCTGGAACATTAGGTCAATTAGGTCAATCTCATCAGGACTCGAACCAGCGACCTACCGGCTTGTGGTGTAGTGCACTCATATAAGCATGCATTATGTAAATATTTTCAGTGCAATTTTTTATGGTTCCAGACGTTTATGGTTAATCGCGTATAATAATCTGTTGAAAAATTACCCTCTCAAAATATGCTAATATAATATCGCACCACCCAGCCTCCTATCCAGTGGGTACTGGGGGCTCTTTTCCTGGAGTAAAGCGGCCGGGGTGTGAGACTGACCACTCATCTCCAACTAGTGCCATGGTCAAGAATGTTGGAGCTATACTCGTAACGCCACTCCACCACTCGTCTTCATAGTCGATCAGAGTGGTCGCTCGGTTTGAAGCATGAACTCTGTTCGCTCGCTCCAACACTGAGATCGTGGGTTCGAATCCCATTCGAGGCACGCATATCTGTGTACGTTTATTCTGTTTGTGTTGTTCTGCGTGTAGGTAGCGGCCATGTGACGGGCTGATCCCCCGTCTAAGGAGTATACACCAGCAGTGTACAGGAATAAGAAGTTTAAGTATCAGCCAAGGTCCAAGGGGCTGTACGACCATAGAGAGAGAGAGAGAGAGAGAGACGTCTTCATGGGCAGGTTTTTAATGAATTAACCACAAGGATAACTTTACCTTTTACCTTCACTATTTCTCATGTGTTATTTTGTATTCCTGTTGAGAACACAGTTCTAACAGTGTGTGTTATATATCCGGTTGGTTGAAGCGCTATGGTACAGTTCGGAAGGTCGCGTATTTGATTCCTGATAAGATCATTTAATTTTTTAATTGAACTAATCCTTCCAGCCTCACTATGGCCCTGGTGTCGACTCAGTCTCTAACAGAAATGAGTACCAGGGATCTTCCTGCGGGTAAAGGGCGGCCAGCGCGTAAGGCTGACAGCATCACCGCCATCAGTGAGCCGATTTTCTAGAAAACTATAGGAATCTCGAAGTCTAACAACCCCATTGGCCTCCACGGCCTTTTACAGGGATAGCTTTGCCTTTATTGTATATCTAGTGACTGGAATATATCTCGAAATATCAGTGGGATATTGTTGCAGTTATTCCTATTATGTTAGAAGACTAACTAGCGATGCGCTGATATTCTCCTGCTTTCCCTCTCATCTGCTGTCCGCGCTATGTCTGAGCTAAGTTTAACATAGCAACACAACCTTTCTGGACAGATTGTTGCTAACTGAATTTGTAAATAAATTTGAGACAGCAAATTATGCTATTTGCAAACGCACACTTGTGCCTGCCGTCTTTTATTGTATATATCTGAAAACCAAACACAGCTGTTTAATATAGGGCACATGTAATGCACTCGTATATACAGGATGATTCACGAAGTTTTACCCCGGCTTATGGTACATATTCCTGGGGTTATTTCCTGCAAAATTTCCTTATAAACTTGTGGTCCGTTTTCAATAGTTACGGAGCAACAGTAGATTTTCGTAACGCATCATTGTGAATGCAGCGCTATGCTTCAGCGTGGGCGACCATACGTTCCAGTCAGCTATGTCAGCAGATAAGGTAGACCGGTTTGAATGTTGCGCGTAGGTAGATAGGCAGAGCGGTTCATACGCGTGCGACGCGTTGTGTTGACGTGCAGGGAGACACGTTTGAAAATCTTATATAAATCCAGTCGTCTTCTAAAGCACCACAGTTTAAAGGAAACAGATTGATAGAAGGGTGTGATATGCAACCATTGGTATGTTTACAGAATGGGATGCTGAAAATAATGTAATTTTGTAACATAAAATCGACGAAAAATGTTGCACAATGCAAAATTAAGAAATTGAAAAAAAAATGGTTTTAGAATGCTTCTTTCCTAAAACATTAACGATTTAAAAAGTGTTTGTATTGTATTTCTAATTTGTTTTGACTGAAATTCAAACGTCGGCAAACTTCTACCTGACTACATGGTATCACATGCCTGTCATCTGAAGCTCAAATCCAATATTTCTGATAAACAATACGGGTCTTTTGGGTTCTAACGCTGTTTAATTTCGGAGACAGACCGGCGTTTCGCAGGAATGTATCACATCCATCTTAATGATCGAAGAATAAGCTAAGAAAGAAATCTGAAGAAGCTTACTCTTCGATTCTGAAGACTGGGGCGATGTGTCCCTCCGAAAAGTCGGGTTCATTCCGAACTAGACGGCTTTACAATTCATTACACTTCACGTCACCGCCGTGCTAACCCCAAACCCAGCACTTGTGATTAAGTTTGTTCTTATAGGCAATCATTGCCACGTATCCGGGGGTTGCGTGACTAATAAGACGGGTTTTGAATTTTATGATCCAATTTATTGGACCTTTATACAACTGGTTACAACATTTCATAAATCACTACCTGACATCCTGGCATCTTCTTCCGAGTGGACACTCCACTGGAAATATTCTGACTTTCAACTGAACTCCATTGTACTTCCTCGTACTCCTTCAATTCTTCTGACTATGCTCTCTTATAATTCCTCGGCACGGACTCCACTGGAAACACCGTCTTCTGTTGTCAAGAATGCGTGTTTAGTGGTCTGTTACATAGAAATGAATGGATTTCTATTGTTGAGAGCGTAACTTGGGAAATGTGTTTACCGGGCCGTTGCTTAGCAATGAGCGTATGCGTCACAATATGTTTGTAGTACGTGCAAGTAAGCTTTCTTAGTAGAATTTACGTCAATTTTCCCGTTGTAATTCCAATCAATTTCTAACATAATCGGAACAAAGTGACAGAAACCCACCGTTACGTCAGGTCAAGGCCTCACACAGTGCATATTTATTTTCCTATTTGTAAACGAAAGTCTTGTTACAGGAGGTGGAGATGACATTCAGTGGCTGGCACCTCAACAGACGAGGAACCTTTGAAAGCAGATCCACTCCAGACACTGCGGTGTGTATATTTATTAAAAGATCATAAACCTAACTGTACATTGCTACTTTTCAACACTTGCGCCTCTGCCAAATGTCTTGAGGGAATAGACAGGTATCCATTTCGTAATTAACAACACAGGGTACTAATTTCTGGGTCGTGATGCCTCGTAATCTTGAAGATGTTTACTGACTGTTCCGGAGAAAATTAGTGCCAGTCTTCAGTGACGAAGAGTAAACCAAGCTCTGGAGACCACCCAACTGGTACAAGTAGGGGAACGCATTTCACTGAGGGTAAAAAGGCCGGAACGTGAAGCTTACCACTAACCTTCTTCAAATTCCGAGGTCAAGAATGATGGAGCTATACCCCCACTCCCACATATGTCTTCATGGCATAGTGCTTGAATAATTAAGCACAGGAACAAAGTTACTTTTTACACACACATTTTATTTTGAGGCA